CATTTCTGCGGTCATGAGTCCTGGATCATGATTGAAAAACTTCGATCTCAGGTACAAGCGGCTGAAGTCTGCCTTCTGAGACGAATCGCTGGCCTCGCACGTCTCGACATGATCGGGTGTACAGACATCTGAGAAAGACTTGGTGTGGAGCGACTGGTTCTTGAGATTGAGAAGCCAGCGCTGCGACGGCTTGGGTATGTTTTGCGAATGCCTTGAGGAAGGAAGACGAAGCACCTTATACGTGTCTTACTGAAGCAGTCCTCTGTCGAATATGATTGGCTTCTGCCGAAGCTGAAGTGCAGGTACAGGGTCGGGAACGATTAAAGTACTGTCTGATGCGTTTGCGTCCTTGACTCGAAAAGAGATGCTGCCACGGAAATTGAACTGATATGAAACTGAATTAAATAATGTACCATACAGTAATAATGCTGCACGACTATTATATTACGGTGTAATACTATATAAGACAATATATTATGGAACGGTACATAAAACACAGCGCACAGAATGTTCTACTACCGCACAGGTTCGAAAATACATACATTAAGTTTTTCATTCTGGTCTCTAAATGTCTCATCGTCTTCTGGAAAGCGGTAGATTTCAATGCCGTTGGTTTTCAGTTCTGTGAGGATCTGCAATACGAAAAGAACGCGTCATTCAGCTGCCAGTATATTTTAATCGCTTGCGTTATGAAACTGAACACAGACCTTGCTTTTGAACCTTTTTAATTCTTCCTTTGACACCGTGTCCGCCTTGGCGATAATCGGAATGACGTTAGTGGTTCGACACAATTCCTTCAACGCTACTACATCGAGTGTCTTCAGGCTAAAAATGGACACAATTCACCACAATGATCATAAAAAAGCGATGTATGAATGAAGTACTGACCCATGGCCAGTGGGAGAAATGAAATACAAACAGGCGTGAATTCTCGAGTCGCTGAAGAACTTCAGGCACCGCTTGATTTTCAGTTCCTCTTGCAGGTAGCTCTCGAACTGTTCGTTGATATATTTGATGATCACCTG